CGTTCACCGTTGGGGCGTCGTGATCGATGTTCTCCTCTCGCACTGTTCACGACACTAGGGTACTGATTAAATAATAACGCAGCTAAACCGGACTAACGGACGAGGTTAGTAAGAGAGTATACAACAGTTGAAGTTAAACCCATCGAACCGTTATACAAATGTTGCTATCGTGCTAATATCGACGCTTTATGCCTGTCTGTTGAATGTCGTTAGGAGGTATCTAACCTGAGAAGACAGCAAACGGAAAACAACAGACACCATCAGGATGGAATGTGAAATGTTGTACGATAGAAAAAGTATGAAAGTCACTGCGGGAATAAAACGGAACAATCCAGTGTTCTAAACAGTTCTCAATATATATATATATATATATATATATATATATATATATATACAACACCAGTCTTTACAGATACGGCACCAAAATAGTTCTCAGTCCAAATCATCATTTGCTAGAAACCTCGAACTTAAACAAGCCAAGGTGAAGGAATACCACCAATGATGCTGTTGAGAGAACGTGCACAGCTCAATCATTGCTACCCAATTTCCATTTAGTTTGTAGAATAGCTTGGTATAACGTAAAAAATCGCTTCATTTCTAAAAGGAGTGAGAGCGAAAGTAACGTTCTCACCGGTATCAATCTTCGGAAGCGAAACCGCGAGGACAACAGTCAGATTAGCAACGTGATAAAACAAAAGTTAGTGGTGACCCGGTGGTAACGCCACCAAATTATCACCCCGGAGGACGAGTGTTCGAATCCCACCACCACCGCCTGAATTTTCCCATTTGGATGTTGTATTGCAGTCCTTTGAGTGACCGCTTCTCTTTTCCTGAAAATTGTATTATTGTATATTCAATAAAATGAAGTAAAATGAAAAAGGAATCAAAGAAAAGACGTCCCTCACAAGGTACCACTAGATTTGTCCAAGTATATTTTAGTCAAGAAGACGCGACCAATTTGAGGGCAACTGGGAGAAAGGAAGAGCTGAGGAATCGAGGGAATAGAATTGGGTTGCTGGCACACGATCTCTAAGCCGCTATGTTAGCCACATGTACCGGTGTATAGTTTTTAACTATAGATGACTGACTAGCAGAATTGCAAAGCACTTTGTTCACACACAAAAGATAATTAGAGAAAAGCATTTTCCGAGAAATTTCTCGTCGGGGTAGAGTTTAACTGGACAAGAACCAGAGAAACAGGGAATTGCGCAAAACTATATTGTGGTTATAATTAATCTTTCCCTTCCATCGACACGGTAAATGTGCAATATTGGGGACAGATAAGATGATTAACTGAAAACTGTCAAAAGGAAGAAAACACTGGGAGGAGTCGAACTCACTGTGAAACATTGGTGTGACCACGGATAAAGCTGATCCTTTAGGCACTGGCTTATCGATATCTCGGGCTAATACATTTGTGTCGCAAATGGACATTCATACGAAAACAGAACGAGACGATTCACGAAACGGGATGGTTGTTTTGTTACGACCTGCAGAGCAAAACAGAGATACGGAAGCGTGAGCAACGTGCGGAAAAGTGTAACCAAACACGTGCTGACCAAAAAGGTGGCCTTGGGGTGATAAAACAATGAGATGCAAAGGAGGAAAGGTACATGTAGAATGGGATTTGGTTGGTTAATTCAGTCCACCACCACTACCACTGCCTATACGAATCCTTAAGAGATGGTTCGTGGATTGTATTACTATTCCTCCTGCAATAAATCTTTTTCTTGCAAAATTGTTGTATGCATTCTGTCTTTCTCGATCAGTACAAAAATGAATAGTGTCCGCGAAAATATCTCTTATGCCCCGGGTAATGAATAGAATTTTCTTCCATTAAGACGGAATAGCTATTTCGGTAAATTCTGGCCTCCTAAAATGGACAGTGAAAATTATTGTGATGATTATCAGTTTGAGTCAAATATGTGTTCTTGTCATTTGTCATTCGAAAAACATGAAAAGATCACTTGACTCCCTCCAACGATGCCAATCAATCCACAGACCGAACACAGAGGGTTGAACCCGGGATCTCACATACTACTACTACTACTACTACTTCTACTACCGGACACCTGATCAGCTTGCTCCAGTCTGTTGCTTCAATACATGGCATAAGTTTTCCCCAAAAGTTTGTTGAAAATAACAGAATAGGTTTATTTCACCAAATTCCGATTGAGCTCAGGATTCCTATGAAACAAAAACAGTGTAGGCAAACCGTATATGTTCAATTATTCCCTTTCAACCTGATACAGTCATATTTGTTTAACAAAAATGCTTAATGGGGTAGGAAAACCGGCATCAACTTGCAAGGCTTATGACTCGGTCATATGAAACAATCAATACAAAGCAGTTTTGAAATGCCAATATCCAGGTAGTAAAGAGAAATAGAACACATGCACGAAAGTGTAGTCATGGCTCTGTTCGTGTTAACTGTCAGGGGAACCACAACCATTCTGTGGAATGCATGCAGTATATGAATCCACGAAAATGAAATAAACCTTTAATGAAAACTGGCCTCAAGGCTGCCAGAAACGCCCACATAGAGTACGCTGAGCCAAAACTAAAGCACTCTTACGGCCGGGTGTGTCGTGGAATATCTGCACCAGCAATACCGGATATAGGTGAAAGTTGTCCTCCAGATCTGTTTCTTAGTTTTGAACCTTTCATCATCACCCGTCACAGGGATGTCGCTATAACATCGGCTATAGTTGCCAAATTCGAAGAATAAAATGCCCAGAAATTAGGTCAGAGGTGACGGGCAGCTATGATTTTTTAGGAATTTTCACGGAACGCTCAACTTGTTGAATTCCCCGAAGTGACATACTTCGGATGTAGTACGAATATACGCTGCAATTATAACCAACCCGTTGTATAAGCCTACAAATCTGCTTTCAAGATGCTCCTGATCGTACTCGAGGTAATTCGGTTGTCTAACAAATACTCCAAATTACATAACTTGACCTTGAATGAGACCATAAAAGGAAACCGAGGTAGAGAAACTATGGGGTTTTATATTGGGAAACATTGTATGTGTCAAACACTCGGCGAGAAGTAGTATGCCCTCAGATAGTGAGATTTGTGACTTAAGTGCACCTCTTCCCAACTGTGGTCACTGTGGTCACGAGACAGTGGTGCCATGCAGTATGAATTCAGTTCATTCGGGTAAGAGGATACTTACTGTCCTCTTTCCCACGCTTGTTCTTTAGACTCGTACTTACTTTACTTTACTACGGCTGGCTCCTTGGAAAAGATAAGCCGGCTCTAGACATGATCATGATCATGAACATGAAGTTCCTTGGGAATTTGGTACGAGAGACATCCCCAGCGTCACTCGGCGTTTTTATTTTGAGGGCACACCTCTAGTTTTTGAACAACCAAATGCGAACTGCAAGGCAGCAGGAAGTAATCCCTCGCCTCGGAAGTGAGGGAGTCAATGACTTTAGTTTTATAAGGCCAGTCACATCGACCTTTATCAGGACACCGTCATTGGACTTATGCGGTTTTTAAACAGGAGCCAGGCGACCAGCCTGAAACCCACTACACCCTGGTAGTGTCGCCGCTACATGTTAGCGACTGCTTATTTGTTGCGGCATGCCACAAATGATTCACAGCCAACCTTCTTCGGTGAAGGTATCCCTCTATCCACAACCCAGGGAGGAGCTTGGTAGCATTCAGCTCTGCTTTTCCCGAGGGTATTCAGACTTTAGACTCTTCACTGCTTTCGAACCGCATCTAACCAAACCAGGTAACAAACTGCCCCGGTTGGCAGGTGATCTAACTTGGGTTGAAACCCATAATGTACCAGACGGACTACAAACTAACCATGAACAGTTCAAAAGACAAATACCACAGTCTAGGTCAAGTCTGGTTCACGTGTGAGTGTAAGCGTATCCCTTTCCGGATTACCGGATGAAACTGGTGAAACAGGGTTTCCGTTTTCACAACATAACACGTAACAGAAAAGAAATGATCGTACTTCAAACCTTTTTTCACGGTAGGTATTTGTTCATTGGTTCATTTATTCAATCGGACGCTTTGCATAAAAACAAGCAAACGAGGTTAACTCCTCACGAATGCTAGCCAGTTTTGATGATCATATGGAGTAGAGGGAAAAATTGGTTTGTCAGCTCATGAAGAATGTTCTTTAGAATCAGTTGAAACAGAGCGAGAGGGAGAAAGAGCGGAAGAGACTACTCACATGATATAAAGAACTGACCGAAACTGGTGAGTGGAAGTAATGTGAAAACGATAGTTCTGAATAGGAAAAATACCGGTAGAGAAAATAATTTAGTTCTTCATATTTTCAGATCGAGACAACTATTCACCACCTGAAAACCTGTAGAAATTTTGGTCTCTTATATTGCAGCATATTGTTTGTACTTCCAACACACCGATTCCAATCGATGGGACGATTTCGCAATCCAGTCCGGTAGGTTAGCGTGCCAACTGGCCATTTAGTAGAATTTTGTGTTCTTCGGTCTCGGAGAGTAGCCACAGATCAACAGGCTGGATAAATTCACTTTCGAGGATAATAAATTATTTTTACAGTGTACATTGGTGCTGAGAAGCAAAAAGAAAAGCTTAACAACGTTTGATTTTATTAATGAAATCGATGAATGTTTTGTGTGAATAGTCTGAAGAAAGATATCATCATCATCATCGTCATCATCATCATCATCATCATCACCTTTATAATCAGCATCATCCTCAACATCGTCGGCATCATCANCATCGTCATCATCATCATCATCATCATCATCGCCATCATCATCATCATCATCATCATCATCATCATCATCATCATCATCATCATCATCATCATCATCATCATCGTCATCATCATCATCATCATCATCATCATCATCGTCATCATCATCATCATCATCATCATCATCATCGTCATCATCATCATCATCATCATCATCATCATCGTCATCATCATCATCATCATCATCATCATCATCGTCATCATCATCATCATCATCATCATCATCATCATCATCATCATCATCATCATCATCATCATCATCGTCATCATCATCATCATCATCATCATCATCACCTTTATAATCAGCATCATCCTCAACATCATCATCATCATCATCATCATCATCATCATCATCATCATCATCATCGTC